TGTTTTTGAGATAATTTGTTTATAATACTATTTATGTTTTCTTTCTCGCCACCATGTATACTGATTGTCATGCCGTAATATTTTATTAATACTTAAAAAAGATTTATTTCTATCGCAACCGCATTTTTTTCTATCGATGTGTCTCTATAAGCTGTTTTCTGCTATCACTTCTTCGAAGCACTCCATAATACATATATAATTGCTTTTAATTCAAATTTAATAAAATCTATTTATAATTTAATTAATATAAGGTCCTTACAGATAAAATTGGCGTTTTGTCGTACTGACCACTTTAATCACAAATTTCTCCTCTTTGGTTGGGAATTCCAAATTCAAATTTATGCAGCCATTTACACATTACGCATTATACAGGTTCCGATATACACTGCGACCACTGAACAGTATGACGTCAATTTAGTATACTGGAAGCCCGTTCCTTTATAGCTAGTTATACTGGTGACTTTAAAACGGAACGCAGTCCAGTATACTGTTAATCCTATTTTTTGGCGCCATTTTCAAATTTGTTAATGCAAGGTGAATATAAATATAAAGATTCCCTCTTTTCAAAAGAAAATTGGAAAATTGTATAAAAAAAATATTTATCAATTAAATCCATCTTATAAATAAACGCATTTTTTTTTTGTTTATTTAGAAACTTATCATTTTCTGATTCTGTTTTGACTGATCACGTGATCAAAAGCACTGCGAGCACCTTACCTCGAAATCTCCAGTGCTCACAGTACAAATATGGCGGCAATTTATGACGTCATAAATTTCCCTAGGGTACTGTAGCAGTGTACTGGCAGTCCATAACGGAACGGATTTTTCAGCAGTAAGACCACTGCGCAGTGCTCGCAGTGTATATCGGAACATTATTTGTGTTTCGTTAGGCGACATTCATTTGTTTTTTTCTTCTGTTTGTCCTATTTACGTCAACCCAGTATAAAAAATAGAAAACTTGAAATATCGTGTTATTTACGAGTACGAGTTCCACCTTGGTACGGCGGAAACAGCTCAAAGGGTTAATGATGTGTACGGCGGTTGTGTCGCAAAAGAAAATACAGTGCGTTTTTGGTTCCATCGTTTTCATTCTGGAAATTGCGACCAGCAGAACAATACCCATAGACGGCCGGAGACCCAAGTTAATAATGAAGAATTAAAGGCTATTGTGGAAGCGGATCCATCGAAAACCACGTCCGAGTTAGCTGCAGGCTGCGGTGTTATTGATAAAACTATTTTAATCCACTTGAAGCAAATTGGAAAGATTAAAAAGTTTGAATGGTGGGTACCTCACGAATTGAGTGAAGCAAACCGGCAAACGCGCTTCGACTGCTGCGTTACATTACTTAACCGGCACAATAATGAAAGGTTTTTAAACTGAATCATTACCTGTGATGAAAAGTGGATTCTCTACGATCATTGGAAGCTCTCATCGCAATAGTTAGACCCTGACGTGCCAACCAAATTCTACTAAGCTAAGCGTGTCGTTCAGTATAGTTTTCTCAAATCTGGCCAGAAGATTACGGCTGACGTCTATTGTTAGCGATTGCAAAATATGCTGGAAGAACTAGCTGTTAAAAAACCGAGGCTGGTCAATCGCTCTACGCCACTGCTACTTCACGACAACGCTGGACCACACATTGCACAAGAGACGGCTAACAAATAAGAAGAGCTTCAATTGGAATGTCTAAGATATCCACCGTACTCCCTGGACCTTGCTCCAATAGATTGCCATTTTTTTCGAAATTTGGTTCGTTCAGTATAGTATAGTTTTCTCAAATCTGGCCAGAAGATTACGGCAGACGTCTATTGTTAGCGATTGCAAAATATGCTGGAAGAACTAGCTGTTAAAAAACCGAGGCTGGTCAATCGCTCTACGCCACTGCTACTTCACGACAACGCTAGACCACACATTGCACAAGAGACGGCTAACAAATAAGAAGAGCTTCAATTGGAATGTCTAAGATATCCACCGTACTCCCTGGACCTTGCTCCAATAGATTGCCATTTTTTTCGAAATTTGGATTACTTTTTGCAAGGGAAAAAATTGAACTCCGATGGAGCAGTGCAAATCGCCTTCAAAAATTTTATTTATTCACGTCCGAATGGTTTTTTTAGTAAGGGGATCAATGCACTACCTAGAGATGGCAAAAGTGCTTCGACAACAATGGTCTATACTTAGATTCAATGAATATTTATTATATTAAAAAATATTCAACTTTTTGTTCCTCCCATACCCAACATCAATTTAATATGTAAGGACCTAATATTAATGTTAGTCGTACCGCGTTGCCAAGTTAAAACTACCGTCATGATAAAAGTTGTTGAAGTAGTCTACCGCCACCGATTGAATCGAATCAGTATCGAATAAAAATACAGTTGGGAACACGGTAATAGGAGGGACGCAGTCTAACGCTGGCGTCGGAGAAGTGAAGACGTGTTTAATATTAACGTAGAATGAATTGTGATTGTGATACTTATAATAAACATTTAATTAGACTCTGCTTTTCCAGCTCGATCTCATCCTGGTCTCTTATACATGTCTTTATGATTTTTTCATTCGAGAAAATTTAAAATATTCTCTATTTAACTCTGATGAAACCTTTTGCAAATATATTAAACATATTTTTCTCGTTTTTAATTATTTCTTACTTGGATGAAAATTTAGTCTGTTTTCCGCATGACCAGTTTAAAATGAGTGATTTCGGGTGGGAAGGCTTAAAAACTGATAATAACGCACTACACAATGTCAGCTTGTTAAAAATGGTACTATCTTATAAAATATTTGTCATGTACTTGTGCGTGCAAGGTTGACATTTTACAATGATAAAGATTTTTTACGTAATTTTTCGCAGATGAAGGTTCGCACAATCACTCTTCCCGCTAGCACGAGGTCATTCACCCGTTTTTGTTGTCGAATGGGACTCCGTTTTCACACCACTATGATACGGTATTGGCAAAGTCAGATAAGCTCACTGTATGCAAGTTATATGCGCTAAAAGGAACCCGGGCAGCATCATCTCAGCCGTGATGCCACAACCTTTTCTGTATAACTTAAGTCTTAAACTCTCGAGCTTTCCAACCCCGCACCAGTCCTGAAAAGTATAGGTTTAAGCAAGACCGGCTGTTAAACCCGCTGCGAGAAGGACCCGGGATCCAACAAGGAGCCCACCGTGTCCTCACACTTACTGCTTACCATTTCACAACAAGCCTCTTAATTTGCCCATTACCAGGGCACATACCTTCTCCATGAATGGACTGGGTAAGGACCCATCAGAGTGTGAAAGTACCTTTCGAAGCTCGAAGGAGCCACCTTTCAACAACCGGCCATTGTAAAAATTGCTTAACTTCCACATAGTGCACCGATTCTCGGTTATTATTAGAAGTGAATTTAATAAAACGTCAATAATTCTAAGAGATAATTCATAAAAAAACACTTTATTCTTATCGCCGAGAATGTTTAAATGTTAATTAGTTTACAAAGTTGCACACTGATATCAATTTATAGGGCGTGTTTAATGATTAAGTTTCAATGACTTGACGCATTATCTAAAACATATTTGAAAAACCAGCCAAAAGCACTCGAACTCGCGCCCAAAGTGTTACATACAAACATAAACACATTATTCTTAAATTATTTCAAATATAAGCCTTTATATTTATGTGACAAATATTTTCTTTGAATTTTCTTAGTTCTAAAAAAGGGCAACATGTGTCAAATTACTAGCTTTCCGCCAGCGGCTTCACCCGTGTGGTCTTGTATTATACATAAAAACCTTCCTTTTGAATCGTTCTATCTATGAAAAAAAACAGCATCAAGATTCGTTGTCCGTTGTTGATCCGATGTTTTTTTTAAAAGAAAGATTGTGCTCGATTTTATTATAAAAATCATATAACACTAACATTGTAAATAATGCACTGATCTTAACGCCTCAAGTAGCAAGCAGCTAATATAACTTTCAGTATGCTATTTCTAATTGCAATACTTAGTTAGAAAGGATTCATTGTATGGATTGTTCACACGACTCAGACTTTTTAAAGGTTATTTTTAATTACAATACGAGATATGCAGATATATTTTTTTAGAAATCAAAATTTTAAGAAAATAATCATATATAATAAAACGCTCACCTACTTTTTTATTTTCAAAAAACAATACGATGAAACATTATCCAATTATTGTTAAAAAATACCTTTTTTTCCTAGTAAAACCTTTGTTTTACAAAACATATTAAATTTTTTTATTACTTACCCCTTCGTTGCAAGGTATATATTTTCTTTGGCAAAATCTAATTTAGTATCTACGTGCTGAAATAACCGCTTGAGCTTATTCATAATATAGCGAAATGGGCTTATCACGTAAAAATCTGTTTCCACGAAAAAAAAAAACATTTCTAAATTAACAACATACCGTAAAACTAAAATTTCCTCTCTTTAATAAACATCTATGGTAATTTTAAATTCCTTACTCTTATAACTTAATATAAAAGAAGACTAATTTTGGTATAGACCTATTCAGTTTGCCAATGGATCGACTGATGGGGAGTTTTAGATAGGTATAATAAATTTTTTTGTGAAAATTGCCAGATTTTAAAGAAGTAACAAAAATGATTTTGACAGAGAAATTAGGGTAGGGTGGGTCTTATATTACACAGGGCACACTGTTACAATACACATATCTCCTCCCCTATAATTATTTTTTAAAATGGTTGTATACTATTTTTAGTGTAGATGCGATGAACGAGTACAAATAAATATCAACAAGACTGGTCACAACAGTTAAAAAATGCTAATAATATATATTACCTAATGTTTGTGGCTTCACATAATAGAATTACGGCGTGGATGTGATCTGGGAGCATAACAAAATATTTTTGATGCTTGTATTTTAATATGTCTGCACTTTCTTCTTCGAGATAACCTTTTGATGCACTCGTTCCTTGTAAACATAAGAGTTATGTTTGATATAAAAGGGGTGTGGTATTGTTACGCATCACAGTTGAAGTTCCAACCGTTCCGCCGCAGCATGAGGGAGGTAGTTTTAGTGATACTGGGCCTCGTGGCCATGGCCGCAGCACGTCAAGTGGATGATAACACACTTGGTATGAAATATAACATATTATACATTTCAATAAAAATATCCTTTAATATTAAAACTTTAAGTAGTCTTTCTCTTATCATGCATAATTGATAGCTAATATATTAAAATTTATGTTTACCATTTACTTTTAACAATTGCTTTTGTAACTAGATTCTCAATATTTATTCCAAAACTAAAAAATAATATTTCTGCTGCTTAAAAATTTATTATATTTACAGTAACTTTAGACATCAAACAAAGACAAACCTTCATCTTTAAATTACTGAATAAAGTAATGGAACCTGTCATGTACAAGGAAATCGAAGAAATAGGCAAGAACTATAACATCGAAGAAAACGTGAACCTTTATACTGTAAGTTTACATTACTTACCATTCGATTTTAATAATTTACACAAAGTGGACGTTTTGTAATATTTTTATTTACTTCTATCTATCACAGAAAACAGATGTGGTCAAAACGTTTATCAACAATCTTAAGATTGGCACATTACCTCGTGGGGAGATCTTTACTATTCACGTCGATCGTCAACTGAAAGAAGTTGTGACGATGTTCCACGTGCTGTATTATGCCAAAGACTTTGTCACCTTCATCAAAACCGCTTGCTGGATGCGCCTATACCTTAACGAAGGCATGTTTGTCTATGCCCTCACTGTAGCCGTCAGGCAACGTGAAGACTGCAAAGGGATAATTCTGCCACCACCCTATGAAATTTATCCCTACTACTTCGTTCGTGCTGATGTAATACAGAGGGCTTATTTTTTGAAAATGAAAAGAGGCCTACTTGATAATAAACTATGTGACTTTTACGGAATCAGAAAATCCGAGAAAGATATTTTAATTATAGATGAGAATATTTATGATAAAAGAGTTGTCCTCAATAAGGATAACGTCCTCAATTATTTCACTGAAGATATTGATCTTAATACATATTATTATTATTTCCATGTTGATTATCCATTCTGGATGAAAGATGAAGTTTTCGACAAAAACAAATTCAGACGTTTTGAGCTTAACCTATATGTGTATCAACAAATCCTTGCACGCTACTACTTGGAGCGCCTGTCTAACGGTCTGGGCAAAATTGAACCTTTGTCATGGCATAAACCTATCAGAAAGGGGTACTGGCCTTGGTTGGTATTGCACAATGGTGTACAGCTGCCTTTGAGGGCTAATAACTATGTTGTTGTACGAGATGATAATATTGAGTTAGTCCGCTTGGCGGAGGGCTATGAGCAGATCATAAAGGATGCTATAATTAAAGGATTCGTTGAAGTAAGTATCAAATATAATGTAATATACGTCATATTATCTGAAACGTATAAAAATTACCTCGAGACATGTTTGATTTTTTTTACAGATCAACGGTGTAAGACTTGAATTAACTAAAGCTGAGGATATAGAAACGCTCGGAAGACTTATCTATGGCAAAATTGATAAGAAATTGGACAATCTACAAGTTGACGCTTATCGTTACCTGCTCATCATCGTGAAGTCTATTCTGGGTTACAACGATCCTTTCAATAACAAGTACGTATTATTTTTTTTTTATTCAATCATAGACGTGTACCATTTATAAATAGAGATATTAAAATAATAAATTATTTCTTGTTACTTTGATATTAATCATTTTGTTGATTTATTATAGTTTTAAAAAATGGTTCTTATGATGAATGATAAAACTTATTACAGATACTTCGTGGCTCCAACAATCCTAGATAATTATCAGACTGCTCTCCGCGATCCAGTATTCTACCAACTTCAAAAGCGCCTCATTGATTTAGTGTTCTTATTCAAGCTGAGATTGCCATCGTATAACAGAGATGACCTATACTTCCCCGGAGTAAAGATCGACAACGTAGTCACCGATAAGCTTGTTACATATTTTGATGACTACTTAATGGACATGACCAATGCTGTTATTCTCTCCGAAGATGAGCTAAAGAAGACTAGCTCTGACTTGAAATTCCTCGTACGTAAGCGCCGCCTCAACCACCAGCCGTTCAAAGTTACTGTTGATGTTCTCTCCGACAAAGCTGTAGACTCTGTCGTCAGAATATTCTTAGGACCGAAAAATGATGAGCTCGGTCGCTTACTTGATATCAATAGTAACCGTGTCAACTTCGTAGAACTAGATAGCTTCATATACAAATTGTCAACTGGTAAAAATACTATCGTCAGGAAGTCTGTGGACATGCACAACCTTGTCCGTGACAGAATTTTCACACGTGATCTGTGGAAGAAGGTGGATTCCATCTCCGACTTTAGAGACCTTCTAATCAAGGATCTTAGAAACTATCATACTGGATTTCCTGCAAGGTTGCTCCTCCCGAAAGGTTTCGTAGGCGGTATGAATTTGTGGTTGTATGTTATTGTGACGCCTTTGAAGTTAGTGGATAATGTTGACCTCAACATCTTGGACTCAAGTCGCAAAGATTTAGTCGTGGACTTTAGATCAACCACCTTGCTGGACAAGAGGCCTCTTGGCTTCCCATTCGATCGTCGCATCGATGTCGCTAAATTCTTCACACCTAACATGAAATTCATTGACGTTGCAATCTTCCACAAGCAGCAAGTATGTGATATGAGAACTCGTTGGGAGAAATGGGTTTTGAGAGATTATATAGTATCAGATAGAAGTCCTCTCGATGATTCAGTCTTTGTAGACACTGATCTCAATAAAGTCGCTCTTGACCATGATGTTAATATTTTTGACGTTTAGATTAAATAATCGTAATATATAGCGAATTAAAGAACTAATCCTTAATATTATAAATGAATACTTTAAATTAAAAGCAATACAAAAATACAAAAAATAGATTTCAATAGTATTACATAATGGTTTTCTTTTAATACCTACCTTAGTACCTAATAGTTATATGTAACTAACAATGAATTGAACAGAACAGCTTAAATTTTATTGCCAACATAATTTGCAGATGTCATCGCATAATAAAATATAAAAATTGGTAATCTATAAAATAAATATATCTTTACTTAAAAATAAAAGTTGCAAATAAAACTTATCATGGAATTGAAAACAGAACATTTATAAGGAACATACAATTATTTAAAAAATAAAACATAGAGTATAAACAAGGAACCTGAAAATTATAAATGAATATTCATTTTTATAAAAATAAGCAAAATTTATATCACTAAATGAGTATCAAAATATTCTGCCATACTATAAAATGCTATTTTCAATAACCTGGCTTTGAGATGTTTTTTAAACTTAATTAATATCATTTAATGTCGTTAGGGATGTTCACTACATATGATATAAAGCGATTAGGTTAGATATTACTACACGCGAATAGGCAAAATAATAAACGTCGAAAAATAATTTAGTAATCAAGACAATTTTGACCTAGACGCCAGTCGTACAGTCCGTGTCGCTATCTGTCAGTCACTTTTGCTGCGACCCCGACGTAAAGAGTTTTTGTCAGATCTGGTTACTGGAGATGAATCATGGATTTATTACGAGAACGATACACGTCGTGCTTTTTGGCTGCCTCGAGAAGAAACGCCACCAACTCAACCGAAGCCGAGTCAAAAGAACCACCGAAAAATTCTGCTTTGCTGTTTCTGGGATGCGCAAGGCATACTGTTTTATGAGCTATTACACAATGAAACTATAAACGCTGACAAATATTCAACCCAGCTTACCAAATTATCTGCCGCTATCAAGAAAAAACGACGAAGACGAGTCAATGTAGTTTTACTGCACGATAACGCTCGACCTCACGTCGCATCTGTGGTTCGCCGGCAGTTGGAGAACTTGGGCTAGGAGACGATACCCCACCCACCTTATTCCCCAGACCTCGCCCCATCAGACTATCATTTGTTTAGAGCCCTGAAACAGCATTTGCGGGGTAAACAATTTAATGATTTCTCTGACGTAGAGGCAGAGTTGAACAACTTTTTCGAGGCACAGCCATCAGAGTTCTGGGCAAAAGGCATCCAAACTTTGCCGGATCTTTGGCAAGAAGTCTTAGATACTAATGGTAATTACATCATTGACTAAACTTTTTTTATTGTAATAATAATAAAAAAGTAAAAACTTAAACCAAGTGTCTCATTACTTTTGTGCCAACCCGATATATTTAAGACGATGCGATGACAGGGTGAGTATTTCAGCGAGGGTTCGAATCTATATAGGTACTATAATAAAAACGTAACCGATCGATGTCTGTACATTGAAGATATATGAAAAAACTGTTACGAGAGGCATTTATATACGTAACAGAACACAAAACAACGCTTTCAAATTTTTTGTCTGATTGTCTGGGCGTTTGTGCACGCTAATCTCAGAAACGACTAAACCAATTTTAATGCAGTTTTCAGTATTGTATTGTGGTAACCTTCCGTTAAAATTTAGGTTAACATTTAGTGTAAGTTTAATTCCGATCGGTTCAAAAATAAAAAAGTTATATCAATTTGAATGTACTGTGTTCTCCAAAATTGCTATGACATTAATGGCTTTATTAAATTTTAGTCTCTGACATATTGTCTATCATCGTCAGCTCTTATACATTCCCACACAGTGGATCTGAGGCCTTCTTTTTAATAATTTTTGGTCACCCATCTCGTGAACAACCCATGCGAAAGTTGCTTAACAACAACAATCGCGGGTAGCGGCGCTTATACGTTGCACTACCGAGCTACATATTGATATTGTCTGTAAAATTATAATTTATAGTGGCCGCCAGCGACTTCGCCCGCGTTTTCCATTTTTTCTTCGCTCCCAATAGTTGCAGCGTGATGTTATATAGCCTAAAGCCTTCCTCGATAAATTGTCTATTCAACACAAAAAGAGTTTCTCAATTTGAACCAATAGTTCCTGAGACTAGCGCATTCAAACAAACGAACTCTTCAGCTTAATAATATTAGTATATCGTAGATATGAATATAAATAAAAATAAGTTTTCAATATTTTGGATACTGCAATGTAAGTTGATATCAATTATATATGACCAATCATATTTAATAGGGTTCACCCTATTTTATATGATTGGTAATATATAGGTATTATAAGCTGAAACTTATAATGGACATGTAGTATGCGATCACGCGAGTAGGAGATCAATCGAAAAGAACGTTGCGCTGCTGCGATGAAACATTGGGTTAGTTTACAGTGAACCCACGTATAAATGTTTTCGATAGTAAATTCTTATCAGGTTAGGTTTACGTCTTCGAGGTTAGCGGAGGTGGTTGGCAGCCACCTCTGCAATGCAGGGCCTCACCTATCTGGGAGAGGCTCTCGATGGATCCGAGCCTCTCCATCTGCGATGGGACCAATAGTCCAATACTTGAGTGCCTGTGACTCAGCTGTGGCTAGGTGGGTTCACGGAGAAGAGTCCTATATATACCCCCCGGGGCATGCCGGGTAATAGGACCAGAGCCAGAAGCATTTCCTCGACGTTAAAAAAGTTAAGCTCACGTCTCAGCAGATACTTTCGCCAAAAAGGTACATAAATTGTAAGAATGCCTTGAAAAAAGGTCAAATCTGCAAAACTGCGGCGAGACGTAGGAAATGTTTAGGGTTACGTCGTACAGAAACTTGTGGCTCAGCATGAATCTAAACTGGGTTTACACCGTTCCCGAATAAGTGAAGACAACTCAAGTTATATCAATTTCTTTTTCCTCCTAATCGTCTTATGTTAAGCCCTTTGTGTTTCTTTTTTACATTCAAATCGCTTTGCTCTGACGTTGGTACTTGCAGTCTTCACTGGAGTAACAGGTTTAATCACTAGTCATGAGGCTCATTCAATATTATATGAGTCTGAGGGTCGGTGCAAAATTGATGGAGCTAGAGAGTCAAGCACCTCGTGGAAGTATATATTTGTGCACGATTTCCGTCGAGTGTGTAAAGTTGAATTTAATATCATTGATTTTTTAGTTCTCTGATGTTCTGCGACAAATAACACGCGCATGTCTGACGAAAGATACGTGGCGGCATATCTGTCAATCCTAAGACATCGACAAACAAACTCACGCACTCTGAGCGCTCAAGAGTTGGGACAGGAAGCGCCCGGTCATAAGAGATACTTGACGGGCGCGACATATTTAATTGCCGATCGCGACGCTCATGCACTACCAAGTTGAATCTGAGGCATTCATTGTTAAGGAAAATATCTTGAGCTCTCAGAGAACTCATACAGCAAGCGTTTGATCTCAGGAAACTCCTGAAGATAACTTAGCACGTCTAACTGCTGATCGTAACACATATGCAGTATTGTTTGAGTCTTTAACGTCTTGATAGAGAAAATGCGGTCGAGCTCTTAAACAGCTCGGACTTTGCAGTATAGAGAGCGAGAAAGTAGTTTCGATTAGCGCTAATCGGTGTTGCTTTTAACCTACCTGTACCCCACAAGCGTACCTATATAATTAACTGTTAACTAGCCGCGTAAATTGTGTAACCCGAGTATGAAGTTGCTTCCCGTAGGTGAAAGAATTTTTAAAATCGGTTTAGTGGTTTCGGAACCAATTCGATACAAAGAAAACAATGAAATTTTTCCTCTTTTTAAGATTAGAGGTTAGCGCATTTGGTTTACTGTGCGGTTAAGTAAGCAAGTAAAATCTTTATTGCACAGCAAGAAAATGACACGAACATACATATATATTCTTCATACATTATATTCATAACAACGTGCTAAAGACAAACTTAGCGCTAGCCAGCGATTTCTTTCAGACAGGCATTGAATGGAAAAACATAACATAAAATAACAGATTGCGAATACAACTAGACAGATAAACAAATAAAATTTTAAAAAGATCAAAATCAAAAGAAGAACATTTGAAACAGCGTAAGTATCACTAATACGAGTATACCTAATGTAGGTACGATAAAAATATAAAAATAGTCAGACACAAGAGCAGCGAGAGAAGTGAGAAAATTTCATATAGTGAATGACCAAAACATTATTAACTTGAGCTACTCCGTGCTGGTCCCGACTGCATAAGTAGTCGTTAATGAAGAATCAGAAGTTATGGAACATTGATCCTACTCGATTCGGCCTCAACCATAGGAAAGAAACAATTCTCCTGATATACTTTCCCATGCAATCAAAGTCACGGGCACAACTAGTTTAAAATATAAGCTTGAATAAATATTTTTGGATCGCAATGATAAAAAACTGTAAGAAACCCATTCAAAAACTTTAAAGTTATTAATAAAGAATTAAAGAAAAATCAAAAGTGACGATAAATATCAGAGACATAAAGTTACATGTTTATCAATATCTCCATGCCTTGGGTATATTATAAATAAACTAGCTGACCAGGCGAAATTCATACTAACAAATTTTATTTCTCCAAACATACTAACAACGACTAAGGATTTTTTTTATAAATTTTCTTATATATCAACCTTGTCCTGACAATAAGGAACACATAAAAAAGAATCATCCAATTTGGTGCAGTCGTTTGGAAGTTAAGCGCGTAGGTACATACAATACATTACGACGATTAATTTTTAGATGTATCGAAAGTATTAGTTTTCTATTAGCATTTTGAAGGGTGCCACAACAACAAGAAAACCTCGATAGAACCGTTCGTCTGTCTGTCTGTCAACCTTTGTTTAGTAACGCATGGAGATACTGAGTTAAAAACTATGATAAAATTTAAAATTTGAAAACTACATGTAAATAATGTATACTACAAATTTATAAATTCTGAACATGTAGTTTTAGTTTTCAGATAAATCATAAAAATAGTCTTATAAGTCAAAATTTTAAATTGAAACTACTAGCTCAAGTGTTATTTCTTATGTATATACTTCAAAATATAATTTATTTCTATTTTGCCATCTATAAATACTTATTTGTTATGAGAAATACCTATATATAAATTATAAATTCATTTATTTTCTCTTCACAAAAGGTTTTCTTTTTAATTACAATATAGGAATTTCAATCACTCGTGTATAAATCCTCGTGTATATTTTGGTACGACTTACTCTTGGACGGTTTTTTAAACAACACTGAGTGTGGAAATCATTCACAAAATCGATTTATAATAAATGTTTATTAAAGACAAATATTTTACTCTACCATTTCTGGAAAATGCTATTTTTTGGAATTTATTTCTTTACTTCGTTTCCTTTGAAATAAGAAAGTATTATAGATAAAAAGAAAGCACTTAAAAAGCACCTCCACTAGATGGCGACCCCAGCAAAAGTTGATTTTTGCAGGAAACGAATGGACCAAAGATAGTAATTTCCATTATTTTTAGCTAACATTTAAAATTTGCTAAGTTCGAAATTTAGTTAACAACACAATTACGAAAAAGTACAAATAGAATATGAGTTGTTTGTTGAGTTTTGAAAACTAATTTACTTTTTTAAGACATGAAAGAAAAGCGGATGGTTCGTCATGGAGAAATTAAGAGAGTACTGTAGCGACATCTAGTTTGATTTCGGGAACAAATATTTTTTTAAATACTTCCTTTAAAAGAATTTAAAAGGAAAACGAATCGGGCGAGAATGTGCTACAAAAATTCTAGGACAGTACAAACACAGTAAGTGGAATATTGAGAACTTAAGACATACAGCGCCATCTTATAAAATATGCAGAAATCGTTTTGAATGTACTCGTAGCATGCTTCGTAACGCATTTTATTATTGTGGAGAAAAATTAGATAACACATCATGCGTCTACCAAATACTAGATGGCAACACAAGAAATTATATTGAAATAAAAATCCAAAAATACTTATTCGTAAAAAAAAATAGGTATGTATATATATATATATATATACATATATATATATATTATATATAATATATATAAGCATGTTACCTCCTATATAATGATACATTATATTATTTGATAAAAAATAGTTAGACCACGTAGTCCGGAACGTAAGTCTTAGAGGATACGTTAATCTAGCTTAGCACCTGACTTCTATGCTGAGTACTAAGTGATATGTACCTTAGTACTTCAACATAATGAAATATCAAGCTTTAGAAAGCTGTTGCACATATTTTTCACGACTTCATAGATTAAACGTTCAACGGCGATGTAAGTTTTTTTTTATGTACCTATGTTCGGTCACCGATTTTTCCACCGTCGTGTGAGACGAATCCCGTACCCGCGCCTTGCAGCCCGCTTCCCCGCGACGGTTGTTATTTAAATAAATTCTTAAATTGAATTAATATTGATATGGTTAAAATACCACATCATGATCTGGCCGACCATTTCATAAAATGGTGGTTTTTCATAAAATGGCTAACTAAAATTTATCATATCGTCTAAACGTCAACCTTTAATAATATGGCTTTACGTTTGACTATATTACTCGTATTAATTTTTTTTTTTTTCAAAATTTGATGAAATCTTGGGGTCTGTAGCTTATTTATACGTTAGCATTATGTTAATCTGTGAATGTGAGCCTGAAAAAAAGCAGGCTCGCAATTTAAAACAAAATAACTTCATGTATCAGAATAACTATGCGATATCAGGGACTCGTACGGGGACTAATGTAATAATTTTACGATATGACAGCTAATAAGTACTTGACCAAATCCTGTACGATCAGCCGTCCATATCGTTAAACGCAGATTATTCATTTATCTGGTCATGCCACATCATGTGGACAACAAGTTTTTCCGTTTTATGAAAAATAGTATTATATTTTATAAATGACTGACCGCATCATGAATTGATCAATTCTATGATCTGGCCACGACATATATAAACCTTTCCTTCAATAATTATACATATTAATGACAAACGCAATAAAATTCGTTGTATAGTTTGAAAGATCTTAGAGTACCGAGAGCGACACGAGGCTTTCTTTTAAAATATGTATAAACTGATATCAACAGAACAACTAACATAATATATACATTCAAGAATTGATTACACATTAGCAGCACATGTACGGTTAGTACATTAGGTTATTCAAATATTTTAAGCTTCTTCACTTTATTTAAATATTAATGCATTGACGATAGGGTGCAAAAATAATTGGCGACTAGAATCGATAATTAGACATAATGTCACCTGACGTGCTGCTGTGTACAAAAATTACATATTGGTATATTTTTTACAACAAACTAGAAGGCCCGATGTGCTTCTAATCACCTCTTACTGTTTACACCTTCCCTGAACTACGACAAACATTTCAAAAGCAAAATCAGCTAAATCAGCCAAGCCGTTTTGACGTAACTTTCAACTAGACAAGCGAGGATCAATTGATTTTAGTATATATATATATTTAGGCTCATTGTTTTTAGGTATAAACTTATAGTTAACCAACGCAAAATAAGGCAAACTAAATGGTATCTATTATTTTGGACGTTTGTAAACATATACACATAATACAAATTAATAACAGATAAGCAGACAATAGTTTTAAGAGTTCGTGACAAAAATGTGAAATAACTTTCGAAAGCTTGATATTTGAGTATGCAGAAGTACTAAGGGTGTTCCAGCAACTGAACTCCGCACTCTTGTACATTTGTGTCCCGATCTTTTCGTGTATAAAACCTAAAAACAAATCTAATTGTAACCCGTAAGTGAGTTTTATTATAATTACTTTTTTTAGAAATATTGGTCTCATTGCTCTTACGCTACTTCTTTTTCATAAAGTCTTTCATAGCCTTGGCTACCTAAATGTTTATAAAAAAAAAACTAAAAATCGATAAGTTTATAATATCAAGCAAACCATAAATGAACTTCAGTTATTCACAGTGCAAGTGCAATCAATGACATTTTATTCATGTCAACAAACAAAACTATCTGAATGTCAAAGATAACACCAATATTTTAAACAAACACATTTTTTTCCATCGACGTATTGGCAATAATCCATACTTGACAACAATTTTCCGATAACCTTACTGCCCTCTCGTCCGATCACACATATCATTTGACCTTAAAATATTACCTCAATTATACCTCAAGTGTTGTTTATAAATAATTACTGTTATCATTAAAAAATAAAATAATTATGTGACTATTTTGTTGTTATCTGTCAAATAAAATAGAAAATAACATACTTTTTTTTGTAATAATTTAAAATATATTATAGACATCTATGAATATAGCAAAATATTTAAATTACACGCGTCTTAACTCTCGTATATCAGTTTTATATTTTTTGTACTGTAATTAGGGTTCCGTACCCAAAGGATAAAACTGGACCCTATTACTAAGATTCGCTTTTGCGTCCGTCCATCCTACTGTATGTTACTTTGATATATGTATAAAACTAATACTAAAAAGTGTGTTAAGGCATTGATTTTATAACGAGTGTGTATCTTAACCCCGAAGTAAAACAGATGGTCTTAAACCAAGAGAGTTAAGTAATTAATGTTTACCCTCGATGAAAATACATACATACTACTTTATACTACATAACTACATTTACTAAAAAAGGTAGTTTTTCCTTTTTCATTGGTTGAAACATATATCAATTTTTAACTGTTACAAAAATATTCAAGTAAGGACAGTTTTGACTCAAAATATATTTAACGTGCTACTTAAATAATAATGCATATGAGAGTAAATTATTTACAGGTAGGTATTATAGCGCATGAATATTCAGTAGGTATAATATAATATAGATTTCATGTAAACTAAATAAAAGCACATGTGTATCTTACATTAAATATTTATATTAGAGAATATGGCACTCGATAATAAATATTAGATTAGATTGTCACACGCTTAAAAAACAAAATATATATTATTAATTGTTACGTGTTGTTAACTCGGTATTATTATGTCATCGTAAATATAATACACAATGACCTAATATTCTTTATGTCATTTGTTGAATAACAGACAATAAGGATCATTAAACCTTTTATCAATTTTCGTGTTTCTGCACCTAAAAAAGAAAGTTTATATAAATAATGAAATTATTTAGTATTATTTGTCATTACTGCATACAGAATGAAGGTGTTTACATCAATTTTTGTATTGATTTTGTTAGAAAAGTGTTCAACTTACCTTATAAAAGTTCCTACAAAACCAGCACAACCAAATATAGGTATGAAAGTATTTACAGTTTCTAAATTGTGTAGTATTTTCTTTATAATACCAAAATATTTATAGCATATGTATTTACTTTTCTTTATTATTTGGAATCCGATCTGAATTTTAGCTATGATGATAATAGAAATAAAATATTCTGAATAGTTTGTATTGCCTTTCTCGGGGATCGATTTCCATTGTACCTAATTCATTTAAAACTTTTGTAATTTAATAATTCTTTCATTCATTTCCATCGCATGGTTGAGAAGTCTGCTATTGCTATTATAATTTAATGAGATATATTGAAAACCCCAAAATTTCGTGTAATGGCGTAGACGTGTACTAAGAACGGATTTTTGGTAATTCCACTCGGAAGCTGGTTAGAAAGGGTGAAAACGTTTGTATGAAACGTTTGGTTTTGGGCCTACACCGATGAAAATTGGTATTTGAGTAGTTTATGACCCTGTGAAGTATTAGAAAACCAGTACTTAAAGAGATGAAAATAAGAGTGGAAGTGGAAGCTGTCATAGCACCACCATTTACTATATTATTTGTAATAAATCTATCTATTATTATTTATAAAGGTTTCCTTATATAGTGTTGTAGTATTTATAACAAAAATAACATTTGAATAATACTAGATAGAAAATCTTTTAGCTTTCATATATTCAATTTTGCGTAGATTTCAGTTTTCGATTAAGTTTTGTGTAAACTTTAGATGAGTGTTTTTTTTTTCATCAAATTGGTTAAATAGCTTTAAAGTTGTCAGTGATAAAGTATTGAAACATATTGAGGATAACTGTTTATTTCACGAAAAGATGTTACTATACGCGAAAAGACTAAAAAAAAATCTAAATCGTTTTTTTATGCTTTCTTGTGACTTTACCACTTAAAGACCATAAGAAAGTACAAATAATCCTTACATAAAACAGGTTCATATATTCAAGAAAGTTGAATAGAAGTTATGTTTAAGTAATTAATCAGTAAAAAATATTATAGGCAACATATATTATAATAACAGTGTTCGTTTAAATAATCATAATATGAATGTTATTGTTTCATTTATGATAAATATAAATTGCACAAAATCTAAATTAAGTATCATTCAGCATTTGTATTATGAAAATCCGAAACAACAAAGGTTCTACAATAACCAGACCCTAGACCATGTCTCACCCGCCCGCGTGAGGTGAACTGCAGCTTCACTTTTTAGGGCGGGGTGGTTGGAGTGCCCTCATTGAAAAAGCTTAACGCAGCATTTCCCTTGCATTATCAAAAAAAAAAAGAACAGAAATGTAGAAGAACTTATTTTCAGGTTTGCAATCCCCTTTACCACTGAGATCGTCAAACATGGAACACGAAACTAATTTTCAATATAATTTTTAGTTCCAGTAATATGGCAAAACGTACAAAAACTAATTCTCCCATTATTTGAAAACGTCTGTGAAGAAAGCACTGATGAAACTGTTCTTCGATTAGACAAGGAGTTCGATTTTGACTCTGCAAGTGTCGATTATACAGTAAGTCAATAAATTATTATTACAATTAAGATACGTTTTGAATTTATGTAAAATAACTGAGTAGTCAAATTTATTTTTAAAATTTTATTAGTGAAAAATTAAAACATTTTAGTGAAAAAATATATCTATTAAAACATCAAAACTACAGATTTATCTATTTTAATGTGCATACTATAACACCAAATTATTACATTTGACTAATTTCACATTGATAATGCTATTCTGAAAAATATTCTTAATGAAAAAAGCTTTAAAAATCCACTTTATACCTGGTACTCTGATATGGGACTCGAACCCATTCGTCAGTCCTGTTAGGTCCTGGGTAGCTCAGTAGTAAGAGCAGTCGCCCAATCCCATATCGGATTCGAATCCCATATTAGGGTGCCAGGGACAAAGTGGATATTTTAAGCATTTTATTAGGAATATCAACAAATGCCAATATTTGTTGCTTTATGCACAAATTATAGAAAACCGTTAGTGGTTTATTACAATATTTGTGTGAATTCTTTTACCTTGTTCTTATTTTGTTACTTTAATCTTAAATGGCAATAACACATAATTATATATTTTAACCCTGCAATTTTATTTATGAACATGGGAAAAAGTTATAATCTTTCTTTTTCAGAAATCAGACGTAGTTGATAATCTACAAAAGCTAAATAGTAGCAACGGTTTATTACCAAAGGGTGAAATATTTTCTGAATATAACCGCAGTCATCTATATGAGCTCAAAATACTGTATGACGTTTTCTACTATGCTAAAGATTTTGACACTTTCTACAAAGCAGCATCCTGGGCTCGACAAAATATAAACTGTGGATTATTTGTTGATGCTATTTACTTAGCTGTAGTAACGAGAAAAGATACTTCAAAAATATCTATACCTGCTCCTTATGAACTTATACCAAATTATTTCATTCAAAAAGATGTAATCATAAAAGCATCCTCACTTCTATCCGGAGAAGATTTACCAGATCTTGATGATATTAAAGTCGAAAATAATGCATATATACTGGATGCTAATTATACAAGTGATATGGATGATGAATACGAAGACTCTAATCTAGCTTACTTTCGAGAAGATATCGGCTTAAATTCTTATTATTTTTTGAGAAAATTAATAAATGCACCATGGCTTAATATACCGACTGACGCAAACAATAACTATGGTGATATTATGTTTTTTATGATGAAACAACTTGCAGCACGATACGATCTAGAAAGATATTCAAATAAATTAGAGGAATTGGAGAGCTTAAACTGGGATTCAGTAGTGGATGCATATGATCCAAAGCTAATATATTCAAATGGTAATGAATTTAGTCATCGAACAATTTCGGGTATTTCAAGTAATACAGATGATATCACTTACATAAAAACCATCGAAAATAGCCTATCAAATATCACTGCCCATTTAGTAAGTATCAAATATAATCTTATTACTTTTTTATGTGTACTTGTAAAGAACATCTAATTATCAATTTCTAAAATTTTCTTTAACAGAGACAAGCAGGAGGACATAACAAAATTCAAATTTTAAATCACCTTATAGACGTAATGGTTACTTCTGAAGAAAGCTATGAAAATTACGCGCGTCGGTTGTTAAACCAACCATCTGATATGAACGAAAGGTATTATTATCAAAATAATAATTGCAACTAACCTACATAGTATTTTTTAATATTAATACTAAAATAGTACTGTAAATTTAAAATCCAATTAAATTATAATAATTAATAAATTATCAAACATTTTTTTTTCAGACAATATTCTACTTTGGATCATTATTTGACTACGGTACGGGATCCAATATTTTGGAGAATCAATAAAAAGATCGTAGAATTGATAGACAATGCCCTAAAAGTTTTACCGGGGTACACTAGAAAAGATTTGCACTTTCCAGGTGTTGAAATATTGAATATAGAAACAAAAAAACTGATGACTTCTTTTGAAAGTTTTCAATTCGACGTTACGGACTCTTTAAAGACAATACATGCAAACACCACCTTTCAAGTAAAAATTGCACAAACTAGACTTGACCATAAAACGTTTACAATGAAACTTAATATTTCATCACTCGTAACTCAAACGGGCTTGGTAAGAATATATATAGGACCAAAAACAATGCCTGGTGAATTCGTTACAAAGAAAAACTTGTTTGTTTTAATCGACAAGTTCAAATTTAATCTTAAACGTGGTATTAATATTATTTCAAGATCATCAGACGAAATGACATGTTTTTCAAAAGATTTCATATCCCTTAGAGTATTACGTAAGAAAGTAGAAGATGCTGAATTTGGGTTGGAATCACTGCCTTCACAAGATATTGACAGGCAAATAGAGTATCCTTCTAGGTTAGTTCTTCCAAAAGGTTGGCCAGAAGGTCTTCCTTTACAAGTTTTTGCATTTATAGCTCCGTTGACTAAAAGCAGCTTAAGTGGATCTTATTTAACTGGAAATATGGACTATAATACACCCATATTGTCTGCTGGGTATCCATTTGATTTAAATGTTGATGAAAATCAGATGTTTAACCTTCCGAATGCTTTGTTGAAAGATATTGCCGTAACGCATAAAGGAGCTGGTAAAACATCGTTATATAATGATAAAGCTTATTCGAAAAAATGGGATGCTAATGATTCATTTGGTCCAAAGCAGTTTGATTACACAGCTAAAAGAGAATATAATTACAAGAATTATCAAGACGAAGTAGAAGAAGAAAGTTATGATCGTCCGATTGAGAACGTGCACAGTTTGTTAGGTGCAAGACCTGCATTTACATATAGAAATACTACAAATGATATAGTAAATAAAAAACAATTTAAAAAGAAGGAAAAATTTCCTTCAAACCCGGTTGACATTAAAAAACAGGAACTCTTTGAAAATAGCCTAACAGACACTGAAAATGTAAATATTAACTCAGAACCAATAGAAAATACTACTGATGTTGGCAATATTTTAAATAAAATCAAAACATCTTTAATAAATCCAAAATTGTATAACAATAAAGAAAACGATATTGGTTATGATATGACAGTTATCAAAAATAAAGCAAATGACTTAATATTAAATGGCAAACCATTTGAACCGTTTGAAACAACTACAGACAAAACAACTGATATATTTCATAAATCTTATAATAAATGGCACACATTTTTAGGGGTTCGGCCTGATTTTACTTATAAAAAAGACACATTAGATTACTCTTCGAAACGTAATCAATACAAAGAAAAAAAAGAAAAATATGGAACAATTAAACCAGTATTCAAAAAGGGCGACTACCCATATAGCGACATCAATAAAGTAAAAGAAAAAGCAAATGTTGATTTAGTGATTGACACAGAAAAAGTTGATGTGAAAAACAATGACGTAACTAAAAAGAATATTATTATTGATGACAACAATAACTTGGTAATGAAAAATATATCTGAAAATAAATATATAAATAAAAGCAATGGCGAAATAACAAAGGAAATCGTTGATAATCTTACCACAGAAAAAAGTAACATTGTTGAAAAAGATATACAATATTCTACTAATAAAAATTATGACGATTATGTGGAGGATTCTGGTTATCCGGTTTCATATGATGACGATATTTCTGTTATCATATCAGAAGAACCAAAGAAACGAGTAACTATATACGACTTTTTATTTAACAATATTCCTGATGAGGAGAAAGTATACGAATAAAACAATCGCCATTCTACATATTTTAGCTAATATTATAATAAGTTTATTTATTTTTAATTTGTTTTAATAAATAAAAACTTCGTTCCACTTTATCTTAATTCTTACTTATTTTATTTTGTCTTGTTAAGATTCCGTAATACCAAAAGAAAAATGAAACCCTAATTAAACCACTCGATAATTTGTTTGGCTGTCCATCTGTCGCAGCCGATTTTTTTGAAACTACAGGATTGAATACCCAAACAAAACAAAAAAGTCTTCCTTAAAATGAATATAAATATAAATAAGTTTAAAACATGGAGGGCTCTTTTAGATACTAAATTAGAATTAAAAAAAAATACAAACTATGTTATCAGATATCAAATTTATCAGATATTTTTGTCAAAAATAGTTTTGAAATTATTTAAATAAGACGGGAAGTGACATTTTCCCCTCCTGCCAAGCGATCATGAATTCTAATTCACTCAGGTTCTGTCACCTCAGTTAATTCACTATGATAGCGAATTCACTTAATGTTGAATTGGTATAAACGTTTCGGGGCATAATGCAAATTGAGTTTCAAATTGACAAAGAGATAAAATATCTGAGATACGTATGAATCAATAAATCTCGTTATTTTATTTAAAAAAAAATGGATTTCTGCACTAATACAAGTTAATCGGATTTGCTTAGAAGTGAATTCGGTCACCTGAATGAATTCGAGTTCTAATTTTTACGGAATCACTTTGCAGATCTAAAGGTAATAGGCCTAAATTAAAAAAATATATATCTAGAAAATAGTTCTACATTTATAGACAGCGGGAAAATCTCTACGAATTTCATAAAAATGGTATTATTATTAATTATCCCCTTCCTTTTAACACCAAAATATCCGAAAATTTTAGGATTTATAAATTAAGAGACATGATTGCCAAAATGAATTAAGAATGCTATAGCATGATTATAAGTAAACTCGAAAGATAATAAGTCCTATCGAGTTGTATATTATTTAAAGCCTTCAATCCCTTTATTCACGATTAAAGGTAATCTATGTCCTTTTCCAATTTCAGTCCAGCGGTTTAGGTGTGAAAGCAGACAGAATTAATTTCACATATACAATATTACTAAGAATTTATATTACAACTAGCTGTTTTCTTGCGACTTTGCCCGCGTATATATAATCTATATCACCCACGTAAAATGTAGTTTCTCTTTGACTAATGAATTTTTAAAATCGGTCCAGTAGTTTTAGAGCTTGCCATCACAGGTACACCATGTTATTATTCTTGATTGCGATATATCTTAACAGTAATAGGGTAAATTCAGTGTCGCATTTCAAAGATATATAAAAAAAGCTCTGTGGACAAAACCGCGGAAACCAGTGTATGCCGTTATTGCTCTTCGGAGCGGTTTCTATCATTATTATTGGCGAAGTTCCAGATATTCTACAACAAACGCTACGCTTTCCCTATTTTCATCGCTGAAAATTTAAAAACCATCTGTCACTCGTGTGACAACGGCTGGAATACAAATAGAAATATCTTTACAGTTGATTACAAGGTTCCCCCAAGCTACTACTCTCGAATGACCTGTAATTCCATATTTTCGTTTTATCGTTCCAAGGCAGAAATAAAAGGATATTAAATATTTATTTGTTATAAATAGAAGAGGAATACATACCGCCGGATGCATGTATTTGTTACAATATTTAAATTACATGGGTTTGCTTCACGTAAATGAAACTTTACGACTGTAGTAAAGACAAACATTGTATATAAATTTAACCAATAAATATCTACGTTAAATTGTTAGTGATCTTTTACGGTGGTAAAATATTTGGCAAGCGAAAATATACCAGTACATTATTGTAATGAATTTTAAATGCTAAATAACAAGACTACATATTGAAATCTTTTATTTTAAACACAATGTTGATCGTTCTTCAAATGATTCGTAATCGTGACCCCATTTTTCATTAAATTAAATTGGAAAAAAGTAAAATGTAGATATTAATTAAACCAATAATAGAAAAGAAATAAAATGATGTTTTTATTTAATAAAATAAAAAATGGGTAATGAGCCATTCATCTCGTTAGAACAAAAAATATACAATTACCATTCATTAAATATTTCGACATTTTAGTCTCAGTTAAGTAAGATCAGGTAAAATACTCATTATAAATAAATATAGTTTAATAGTTTGTCAGTTTAAATTCGAATACGGTAAAAACGATATTGCATAATATTTATATGTAGCAGCCAAGTGATTTAATCCAATTGGGTAGCTAGGCCTTTAATTGAATGGCGCCGTTCAATTAACGGGCTGACCTGTGAGCTGTACACATCGTTCTACATTAGCAGGATTAAAAGTAAAACAAAATTAATAGTGTAGTAGGATATTTTTAAAAATAAAAAACTGCTTTATCACGACCGGGTGTTAATTATCCGTATGATCCAATATATAATGCTTACGAAAATACCAATAACACAAATGGGTGAAGCTTAAACTTTAAACGAATTTTTCATTGGATACCACACAGTCGGCTGTGAAGTTATGTCAGACTAAATACCACCTTGGACATCGATGCGTGCTCTGATGGGGTAGCCCATAAGAAATTCTTCATAATAATACAGATTTACAAAGACAAGATATACTGCGATTAAGACGGCCACAACGCCATCCATTGAAAATGAGAGTAAGTAATACGATTGTTTTAGTAGGTTTATTTCGATTTCGAATTTTTGGTGAAATGATTCTTGGTAACAGCAAAAAATTATAAACAACGAAATTATTTCAATCCTGTAAGTCACCTGATAGGTTAGAAATTTTAAAATTAACCTTAAATAGTTGGCTGCGACATATATACACATAAGATAATTAAAATCATAATTTATTACAACATCTATAAAGACAACTTACTCCAGAAAATATCAAATATGACAAAACGTTATCTCTTGTACACTCTAACGCTAAATACATTAAAAACAACAACATACTATTTAAAGATTAATTTACATTTGGCGTTCAGATATCGCCAATGGATTCTGCAAGGAAAATCGTGTGTTCCGTGCCAAAATGAAGTTATATTTCCACTCCATTGACACAGATGATTCAGGGTCCAGTAGTATAACGAGCTATCCAAACATTGCTTTTGGCTATGATAGCCAATTATTTTGATCGAGGAATTCCGAGTCGCAGTAAATCGCAACACGTCCGTCACGGATCGGATGATAAATTTAATCATCTCACTACTTGGTGTTAAAGCTGGAATACATATTTCGAGATTTGTATACGTCATCTGCTATGCTTCAATTATGTTAACACCTGTATGCAGTGTGCGTTTTTCTGAACATTGTTATTATTTTTTTTTCTTACTTTCAAGTTCCAAGGAGTATACGAAAAAATAAAATGGTGCATACCTATAAATAATATTTAAAAATCCCAATAAATGATGTAATGAAAGCATTCGTTTTAAGTATTATGAATTGTGACTTATATAACATATTCGTCAGTGATTAAAGAATAATCAAGTTTATAATTTGATTATTATATTTGATCAATTTTGCAATCACAATGCTATACTGAATAATAGTCTTAATGCATGCTCAAAAAATCCACTGCCCCTGGCACTCTCAGATGGGACTCGAACATATCTCTTTTCGAAATCCGGGCGACTTCTCTGACCACTTAGCTACCCAGGACCTAACAGGACTGACGTATCTTAGAAGCACTTGTTACTTTTTCGCTATTACAGCACGTATTTTCATCAATGTTCGTGCAATAGGGATGATGACTAATTTATGTTTGTTTGTCCGTCAGGTAGTGTTAAAAAATATTAAACACGCATATTTTTATTTTTTTCGTAATCATAAAATTACGGCGTTACATGGAGTTGAAATTTCGCATGACGTCACGTTAGGGTACGTTTTCTACTCAACTGTGACGTAGCAAGCCCCCACTCCTCAACTTTAATGCTTGTTATCTAAGCTATTTCTTGTTAAATTAAAGTAAAAAAAAAATACCTACCTATCTAATATTTTTCTATTATCTGACTGACGGACTAAATAGAATTGCATTTTTTTTTACCCAGACATCATCCAAGAGTCGAAATATAAAACCATAGTATAAGTTGCAAAATATATTTAAACGTCGTGTAATAATCCAAATCTCGATAATATACTGCAGTACTTAGTTATTGTTGTTAAGCAATTTTAGCAAGGGTCGGTCTACAAATGAATGGGATAGGTGCCCAAAAGGTTACTGTCTTGAACTACTTCGTGGTTAGGAAAATACGTTAAGCTGTTGATCCTGGCTGCATTTGCAGTCGATATTACCCTCCAATCCACATTGGGTCAGCGTAAAGTAGAGTTGGGTCATAGCCCATCCTACATAACTACCACAACTATTCACAAGAAAGGCCTGAGTTTGAGCCCCTGCAGTGGGGATGAGTTGAAAATAATAGAGTTTATTAAGATGCTGAAAATAATGTAAAATTAATACTAAAATTTGTTAAATTGCTGTAAAAATTGGCTCCAATTGACCAACGTTAATTAAAATCTCATACAATCAAAATTAATATTTCAAATGCAACTTCAGGTCAAATTTTAAATCTGTCTAACCTATCTAGAGGCGTCACCGATGGTGTATTAATGGCGTTAAAATATCACAGTAATTATGAGATTGAAACCAATTTATATGCTTTAAAAAGTTTTGAGCGGCTATTTATTGCTGAAGATTTTGGAAGATTCTGATTGATATTTGTGTATCAAAAAATCTGTTATATTATGAGTTAATATTACCATCCAATCCATCGATAAATTAATCTGTTATATGAGTTAATAATAAGTTATATCAGCTATTAGGCCAGAAACAGAAATTAAATAAAAAAATCTTACAATAACAATAACGTTACTAAATGATATGAAAAAATCTTCCCTTATAAGAATAAAATATAGAAACTGCGCAGGAGAGTTATTTGGATACAAATATAAATAAATATATAAATTTGAAAATATAAAAAATAGAAACTGTAAAAATTTGAATAACATATAAATAAGATAGGTAGGTAGGTATTTTATTCAAAAATATTATAATAAGGATATTACACCAGTTGAGATCAA